TGCAGCGTGCTAGACCGAAACAACAACCAACTAACTACGGAAATAATTGAAGCGAAGTATGTTTCCAGGTTTGACGATGGACGCGTGAGCTGCCCGCATTTCACCTTATCTGCAAAATAATTAGCTTGCCTCACCTTCAGAATAAAATTAGGGACTATTTTACAAATTTGTTCTAAAAATCGAATAAGGAACCGTGGACAAAACATTTATAGCTTTTGTTCTAAGAATACGTAAAAGAAAACGAAGGCAAAATACAAAACATTGTGAGTTCAGCGCTGCACGTGTGTGTATGTTTTGTGTCTGTAATCAACAGAGTGCCTGTTTGCGAGATGTTTATGCGATCTGAAGTCGTAAGATGACAAACCAACTACCCCAAGCTGCTGTGTTGAGAACAAGTAACATTGTGGCTTGCTGGACAAGGAAGAGGCTTGGCTCTTTTTACTTGTTCCTTCCGGTTTGTTCCAACACTTCAAACAACTCGTCGCTGGTGACATTGAAGTTGTCCTGAACAGTTCTCTTGTAAGCGTAACAGAGAGGATCATTGAGTTCATGCAAAGCAAGAATCTGGTCAAAAAATGCTGCGAATAATGCTGCGACAGCGTAAGGGCCATCTCTCTGAAAGTCATCAAGCAGACATCGTGTGGCTAATTGTACTGCTTGTGACATACTTTGATAAAAAATCTTTCTTCTAGTTCCGCAGAATGAGGTTTAACTGTCTTAAGTTAACGTCTAGGATTACCAATGCTCATTGTATTCCAAACGTTTATAGGAAGACCAGTGAGTAACTGACAGGAATCAAGATTAACCACCCATGATTACCATGCATTGTACCGCGTGAGTCAAACGGATCGATGGCCGTTTGAATGGACGGCAAAAATCGGGTTCTTAGCGTATTGTGCTAGAATATACTACAGAGTTGCCTAAAAGTGTTGGAAGCGTTTATTAAAATTGTGAAAGGATTGCCTCACCTGTGTAAATCAAGAAAAACCAAAATTATGTTTTCTCTAAACATTGCATGTACACTCTAAAAATATTATGTGTTACTGTGGCGCTTAGATTGCCCAAATAAAGAGAAGAATAAGTAAGTCAGTTCTATTTGCACTCCAGTTTACAAATTGTTCAATCTTACCAGGCGCTACAATATCCCAAAACGATTTTCTGATGATTTTGAGATAAAAAGCTTAGCGATCATTTTTCCAGAGACCAAAACAAGTTCTGATTCTTTTTCTTTTGACTCCGGCAGTTTCATGTATTCCTACCCTCTATTAATAAATGCGCCAGCTTCGAGCATCTCTTTATTAAATACCTGCTCGGCAAGTTAAGAAATCGGTTTATGCGGTCCTTTCAAACCACCATCGATCCACAGACCCACGCGGTAGTTCATGATGAGTATCTGTTACTTTCCAAAACATCAAGTTGTCATTATCACATTTTTATTTTATAGTCCTTTAATAGCTTTGCAGGGTACAACATATTATTTGAAAGTAAACATATTCGGCAGAAATCTGCGTGGCTGGGTGAAAGTGAAAGTCAAAACCGAGTTGGTTTCGAAACTTCGGGTTTCCTTTCAAATATTGGTGGGAGCAACATTTTCGGACTTTTACAGCATGTTATACCTTCATTTGCGTCCTATGGTTGTCCTTTATTTTGTAGCGGAAAGCGTCTACTCAGCCAACAGTACTCGATCTCAAAGGATAGAATAACTGTGATGGACAAAATTTACATGTTCGACCAAGCACTGGCTGTACTATTCAGCGTGTACTACCTTTTCAACATTGCATACCCAGAGGAGCTTTGCACTTCCTTGGAGTTTAATTAAACAAATTGAACTCATTCGTGCTTTCTTGCATCATTTGGTTTGTATAGTTGTTCCTTTGTATAGTTCATCCGACGATTATAAATGCCAGCAATGTAGGGCTACCTACACGGGAAGTCAGAATTTCCCTTGCGGATGCCTGAAATTTCCCTACTTCTGCCGAAATTTTCCAGGCTTGCCGAAATAATTATATAATACTAAATATTCGTTGTATTCTGTATCCCGTCAATTTTCGCGATGAGAAATATATTCTGTAACCTTTACGTCTCGCGTACGTTTCGCAAAATTTAATTTATCAGGCCAAACGGGTGGTCAAAGGAAATCTGGCGAGGAAGGATGTTACCGGGAAATTCAAACTGACGAACGACACCCCATCTTCGACTTAAATGTTATGCACGTCATCAAAACATGGTACTGCTTTATTAACTTGTTTGGTGCTTTTTGTAATAATCAGTCCAAAACAAAAGGTGTAACACAAGCTAGAGTTCTCAAACCCGAAAACATGGAACTCGAGACATGGTAGGCAGCATTGTGTGTACGGCACTGCACGAAATATTATTCGCCACGTTAAGTATGTATCTTGCATGGTGTCTGTATTTCCTTACATCGCAGTATTTCTGGTTGCACTCAAGCTTTCTTCTCCGAGAAGGCACAACGGCGCTATCAGAAGCTTCGAGTTGACGAGTCCCTCTATTGTTTTCACGGCGGCGATGAAAACTGATTTTGCCGAAAAAAGTTCTCGGAGTGCTCCTCAGTGCTTGCTGCCAGATGGTCGCACAACAAACCACCAAACGGATGGAGGAAATGATCCAAATGTAGTTAAAGCCACTCAAATTCGATGTTTTCTCGGAAAAAAATCATAATTTACCTTTAAATTTTTAGCTCTATACGGTGCCTAAAATTTCCCTCAAGCTAGCAAGATTTCCCTTTGTCCCATCTTGACCTGAATATTACCTTAATCTGGGAAATATCTCTCGAGTTGGCAGCCCTGCAGCAAAGATTTTAAATGTGAGCTCTTTGTTTTAGAATCTGCATTGCTTGCTTGAAAACTTGTGCAGCGAGAGTTCCTGGCAATGCTAGCGGCATGCAAAGGTGAGATGGCTTAGAATACAAACCAAATCTGATTCTTTTATTTCGGGTTCCCTGTCCTTTGCTTACTTAGAGGAGCTGTGCAAGAATTTCAGTGCTTTGCTTAAATAATTTGAGAGTTTGTGTCTCGACCTTTCTGAAGTAAAGAAAAAAAAAACGGCTTTGCCTGCATGTCTTAGTATTTATTTTAAAGATTGAGTAAGATTGAAGTTTTCGGCACCCTCTCAACTCCTTCAACTTCTTCCGAGTGACGTGCGCTGTGACGCGATTGGGGGACCCGTGGGGTTCCGGTGAAGCTCTCTCTTTATACCTCGTTTCAGCTTCCGTCCGATGGCAGCCAAAGGCTGAGGGACGGTTCGCAACTTTGAGAAGAGCATTCCTACGTACCACAAAGTAGTTCGCTAAAGATTTTTTTAAATAATTTGTGCGTAAACATTGCGCAATATTTCAGATGTGTGCTGCTGAGAATGATTTGCAACTAAAGGAATGAAATATCTGAAGTTTATATTTTTATTAAAAATATGTAACTGCATGTGGTTTGGTGAAAACACATACACCTGTTGGCAACACGGCTGCAGCGCTCGGTTTTTCTGTGTGATTTTGTTCCCGTAATAGCCGAATCATGTGCTTCGCCGCTTTCCTTACCGAGTCCTTCTTAAACGTCCTTTCGCAAAGCCACGTTTGGGCGTCAGGCGCAGGAGGCCGTGGTGAATGTCTATTTTCAGATTTGGCTGGAGACTCCGGCCGCATCGTACCGCAAAGTTGTTACCCGAAGCAGTGTTGTAGGCGTTACCGAAAAAAAGTAACGAAATACGTTACCCGTCACTTGAGCGTGAAATAACGCGTTCCCGTCCTACGTTACTTCAAAATAAAAGGAACGCGTTACCCTTACCGGTACTGATAAAAAGTAACGCATGTTACTTTTGGGTAACTTTTTTTATTATGAATTAACAATCTTTCACTGTTTTGACGTTACAGGTATGCATACGCGCCATACTTTAAGAAATATTATGTCCATGCAGACACTGAACATAGTACTTTATCTTTCTTATGGTTTCACCTAAATACTTACAAAAAACGCAAAGAAAAATGCAAAAACTCAAAAACTTCACATGGCTTGGCACCTAAAAACACACAAAAAAATGTGTCTAACTTTTTTTAAGTCTTGGGAAGGAGAAGTAACTTAACTCCGTTACCCGCTACTCAAAATTTGTAACGTGAATGCGTTAGCCGTTGCTGTTCTGAAATAGTAACAAGTATCTACAGGTTACCGAAAAAAATGTAACGCGTTACTTGTGACGCTAATACTTGTAACGGCATTACAGTGCCTTAAAAATGACGGTGCACTGTAAATCTGGCTTACGGCCAATTTTAACACCTAGTGACTCTAGGTTTCAACGGTCACCGTTTAAATTTAATTTAAAAGAGATTTACAGTGCACCATTGTTTTTACGACGAAATAGTGGCAGCATCAGCTGCTGGTTTTTTACCGGGAACTTTACGGTCCATTTTTTACAGTCATAGTGAATGGTATTTCGAATAAGATTTGCTTTACTGGACGGACAAACATGCAGATGTCCGTTATTTGTTTGAGAGCTTGCACCGCGCCTGAGATGACGCCTACCTTCAGGCAAATCTAAAGAATAGCCAATTGGAGGTCAAGCTCATTGCCGGACCCTTCATCCCGCTTGCCAAAATTTTCTTGGTCGTCATCTCCACTGGGCACTACAAAGATGAGCGAGCCTACATTGATAACCAATACCGGACAGCGGGAACTTTGGCTATGGTGCATTCCAGGCAATACCTGCTGACTCCGTGTTGACAGTGAAAGTCATAAACCTCATCGGCACTAATCACACACCTGCAGTAGAATGGTCGGTTCGCAGGTTGTAAAACACGCATTGTATTGCTTCCATAAAGCGTCCTATCTTGTCGCTGCAATTAGTGGTGATACATCGTAATAATGTACATTGCTTATTTGCGTCTATTTTTAATATAAAGTGCAACCTATGTTGTCATGTGCAGAAACTACATGTACTAACAAAAACTTACAACGCGGGGTAGAAGTTGAAAATGTGGAGGCCGCACTACTTACTTGGTTCGTTTGTTCCCAAAACTGTTACCACGTCACAGGTTCCGTAATCCGAATAAAGGAACCGACATTTAGTGGTCGCTGCCATCGAACAAACATAATAGACATATATTAAAAACGGCAATCGCCGCAGTCCCTGATAGCTTAAGAAAAGCAAGGTGTGGCTTATTCTGTTCAAGCTGCTCGCTTTCACAACGTTCTTGTCCGCAAATGCCGCGATCTGATTGGCTCAGGACCAATAATATGTAGATACTTGGGTCGTGCCGCACCCTGCGTTTCTTAAAGCATTCATTATTAAAAGTAAACACTACTTTAAACTTTCTTTTAAAGCGCATCTTTCAAATTAAAATTTAAATTCTTTATTAATCCTTGAATCAGAGAAAGGAGGCAGAGAAAAAAGAAACTGACACGCTGCTTGAGCAGCCTCTCTCCCCCCCCCCCCCCCTCCATAGCAGCCCAGGGAAGAACAAACATAAACTTAAAAACACTAGCGTTTGAAATATTCATTATGGCAAGCACTCTAAAAAAAGTTTGTGTGTCTACTTTCACGCACAACATTCAGAGAGCCAATCACCGCAACTTACGGTGGCAGCTCAGCGAACGATACTGCCGAAACATGTGTTTAGACCAAAAAAACGCAGTCTGAGTTGTGACATTAATCAATGAAAAATGTCACGCTTGCATTGCTTAACGTCACAACTGAGACTGGGGTTTTTTGTCTAAACATATGTTTCCGGATTGTCATTCGCTGAGCTGCCTCCGTAGGTTGCGGTGATTGGCTTTCCGAGTGTTGTGCGGGAAGGCAGACGCACAGGCGTTTTTTAGAGAGTGGGAAAGACATCATCTATATTGCTAAAAAGTAGATTGTAAACAAAAGGGAGAGAAAAAAGAAACGAAAAAGTATGTCAAAAATAACAACACGCGCCAAACGCATACATCAGGATTATACTAAACTTTCTTTTTTTTCACATGGTATTAATCATTAAACAAAAAAGTGAACATATTTGTTTGGCGGACATGCTGAAGATATCTATATCGTGTTCATAAAAACGATTCAGAAGATTAGGAGGGTACACTGAAACATCTGATTCCCATAGTGTGTTCTTGAATGTGGCACCAGAAGATGGGGAGGGTACATTGCAACATCTGATTCCCATAGTGTGTTCTTGAATGTGGCACAATTCATATCTCAGCATTACGAGTTGAATAATTTGCTTGTCTAAGTTCGAGTCGGGAAATTGATAGATACATATTTTGCGTTCCGTCTAAAATACATTTTGTAGGAAAGTGCAAGTTAATAAATATAGTGATCTTGAATTTGTACTATATTAAATTTATGAAGTAATGGCTATGTTTGGTTTCATGAGCTTCTAAATAGCCTGTTGGATGTTGTCAAAAAGTTTCACTCATAATCAAAAATAATTTTCAAAAAGAAATTATTTCCGACAAACTGGCGTCATCTAAAGGCCTGTCCAAATAGGCCACTACAAAAAGCGTTAGGCAACCCGACTCCTTAAAAAAATCGGCAAAATTGAAGCGGGCGCTTCAATTTCGGCGATTCTTGAAGTGCTCGTGTCGACTGAATATTTTTGTGGCCAAGCCAACATCACGACTTTTCTCCTCGCCTCCTCCACTTTTCTTTGACGTCGGTGCTCGTCAGATTTGACATCGCACGCTACCTGCCACTGGTGTTCTCTCGCGGCTCGCTGACCTCGCTACCGCAGTCGCCTCGGCTGGAAGGCCAAAGAGGTCCGCTTCGAGAGGATTTGGGAGATTCCTGCGTCGAAGCAGGCGTATCGCTTCTCGCATTGAAAGGGAATGACACCTTCGCGTCGTTCCCTTTTCCGTTTTGGAGTCTTGAAGAACGGCGGAGGCCTTGAGCGATTGACCGACAGCCAAGAGAGCGTGTGAGTAGCTCTCCGGACCCACGTGATGAGCAGATAAAGTGCGCCATAAAGGGCGCCGTAAAGGGCACGGGCGCGATTTAAATTAAAAACTGCCCCCGCTCCCCCCCCCCCCCCCCCCCCCTCAAAAAAAAAAAAAAAAAGGGCGGAAGCGGGCCGTCGAACGATTTCTCGGAGTTGTGTTGCCTGACGACTTTTGCAGTGTCCTATTTGGACAGCTCTTATGGTGCAGCTTTCTGACTTTCGAAGGCGTTTATCTCGATTTCACTTTTAATGCGAAATCATTAACTGTCCCATGGAGCGAAGCCGGCGTTGTCTGCGACCGCGGAAAACGGCATATAAATTTCGTCTGTAGCAGCGAAAAATGGCAGCCAAATTCCGTCTGTAGCAGCGAAAAACGTCGGCTAAATTCATATTGGCAGCGACGCGTCATGGTTCCAAAGTGAAACATGCAGCATAACACCCGTGTCACGCGGCTATGAATATAAATTGCAGAAATTATACCACATTTAATAGAAAATAAAAGTTAATATGCGGTATGTCCCCAGAGAAGCCCTCTTCCTGGTTTTGCGGCCCACGCGCCGGTAAAAGGGAGAGGGTGGCGCGCGCTTGGCTGCCGTTTTTTCCTCTCTTTCGTATTAAGGTTAGTATTAGGGTAAATTCACTATATGATGAAGCATTTATTGTATCTTCTTTGGCAAAATTACAGGGGACTTTAAAGCACGCGTCTAGGTCTTAGGTATATCCAGTCATGGTGCGAGTTTACAATCGGTCAATTCTAATTTAGGATTTCTTTGGTGAGAAGAACTGGGATAGAAGCAATAAACATCAGTGCAAATGTGAAGTCAATAATAATATAAGTTGAACCTTGCAATCAGCTTTGTAGGTGTCTGCTTAAGCCACACCAATTCACACGCAGTTTCTACGGCGTGCGCACAGTCTTTCATGAAACCAGAAGCATATCTTAAATAATTGGAGAGCAATATTGGGGCAACAATCCTCTGTCGAACCCGTTGAACACGGCAGCGGTGCAAAAGATAATCTGATCGAGGTACAAATGACCACTGCGCATAGAATTCTAAACGGCTGTTGCGACCTTTTCTCCGCCACTTCCTAACCAGATGGGACACGTTTCGCCTACCTCCATCTCACCGCCCCAACTCGAAGACACCACCCGGAATGCCCACGACGTGAATACCTATAAATCAATTGATGCCAAGCGTCCCTAATCCCGGCTAAGGGCGGCCTTTCAAGTTCAAGGAAGCACTCAAACAAACACAACGACACACACATTTCGAGCGAATACTGTTTGTCAGGTGACGTGACGCGGGAAGCAGAGCAATGGGCACAGCAAGTTGGTGCCGGGAGGCAAGGCCGGTAATTGGGTTGCAAAATGAGGGAAGGGAGATTAAATGGGGCCTAAAGTCGAAATTCCTCAAGCGCGCACTGGGAGTTGGACGATTCAGATTATAGGGGAAGGAAACAGATGATCGGCGGCAAAAGGAAAAGGTTCGGAAAATTGGTTGTGCCGTAAGCCTGCGGGCGTTTGAGGCCACAATCACCAAAGACTGTCCTTCGCGAAGAAAAGAGAAGCGCTTTAGAGACGCCGCGCATTGTTTCATCTGCGTGCGCTGTAGGACATGCACCATGCACGTGGGGTACGAACACAAACGTCCACATCCTTCAGTTGGCGGAATCAGCTTGGCCAAGCATCGTCACCCCAAATATAGTACATTTTCATTTTTAGTTTTTTCCCTCGTGGTACACATGGCTTCTGCAGCAGTTTTTCCTAAAAACGAAACTAGTAACCGGTAGCGCGTTACTAGTGACTAGTTACCGCTCAATACTGATTTATACTTATGTTAAAAATACGAAAGCATTAACTGGCCCATGGAGTGAAGCCGGCGTTATCTGATGTTTGTAGCAGCGAAAAACGGCACCCAAATACCCACTGGATGAGCGAAACGGCACCAACATAACCATTGGCTGAGAGGAACGGTGCGTGAATTTTCATTTTGACTGAGCGAAACTGAACATAAATTCCCGTTGGCTGGTCGAAACGGCCCATAAATTTACAATGGCGGCAAGCGGAAGCGCCTCAAAAAAATAAAACACAAAGAAAAGCACTTCAACGCAGATGCCTCGTCACGGAACCCGTGTAACCGGCGAGGGTTGCCGCGCCTGTGCAGTGGGGGAGCGTATGTCACCGCCCGAGAGCCGTGTGAAGAAAGACGTGGCGCGTTGCTTGTAGGAATACGCTGCGTGTATGAATGCCTTCGCATTCCTACACGTTCACAATACAATCCTAGCTGTATTAAGCTAATAGTTATATTGCATCAAGCATAAGTTATATTTTGTTCTTAGGCAGCTTGAGCTTCTTGAGAGATGTGGATTAGCTGATATAGTAGATATAAGATATCTTTTTTAAATGATATTATAGGATTGAATCACCTCGCGCTCCTGAGCGAAGATACGAAAATCGCAAGGTGATTTGCGAAGCATATAAATTTACTCAATAAAAATTATATGAATAGAATTCAGTGCCTGGATGCGATCACATCGTTTACATGATTGTGACATCTGTCTAGCTGTGTTTGCGTTGACTACGTCCACGTGATTTTTATCTCTGATCTGTTTTGCTGTGCCCAATCACTGCGGTTCTCGCCGTTTTGTCAAAGATTTTTTTGTATAAAATACGCATTCTTACATCAATAATTACGCGAGTTAATGTTATCGACTTAATAAAATAAAATTTTTCTGTAGACGTCTTATATGGATACCTCGTGGTATTACTACCGATTATTATGAGGTGTAATATTTTGAACATCTAATAAAATGTTTTCTAGATCAGTTTCTCTGTGCATTTTTTGTTTTAGCTAATAAGACACGCTTGTATTGTTACGACGGTCGATCCACGCACGTTGCCTTCGCTTCGGCGCTGCGGCGCGCGCCCTCGATGGCCTTCCTTTGCGACGTCACGAAAAGAGCGTTACGGCCTTAGCTTCTATAGGGTGATGGTCGGCGCCGAGGCCCGGGGTGCCGGCGACTCGAGCCACTTGACGGCTCATGCAACCGCCGACCGGTCGGTTTTAGTTTTGTTTTCAGAACAAAAGAATAATATAGAAATGAAGATAGAAATAAATTACATTAAATTTTCGAGATGCGCCAAATACGTTTTATAGAAATTACTGTTATATGTTATTATTGATATACGAAATTACTGTTACTACTGCTAATGTGAACGCCACGAAACTCGGACTTGGACCGGGGGTCGGTTAGGCCCCGGCTCCAGGGGCATTAGAGGTCGGCAGGAGAGCGCGCATCGAGGAAGCCTGGTGCCGTATTTCCGGTAGCTGTAGAACATTCGCGGTCTGCGGTATATTTCCTTTTCTTTTTCGCACATCATTCTTTCTGCCTTGGATTGAAAAACTCTTGACAACGTTATAAAATATCATTTCTGATACAGAGTACATACATGTGATGCTGCAGATGCCGCGAAACCTTCGATAGAGTGAAATTCAGTTCCCAGGATTACCTCATAGATGGCGCCAGCGTGCCAGTTTGTTCTCTCATCGTAAAATATTACAAGAACTCAGGCCTAAGCAGACGCATGTGTGTGAACGGGACCTTACGCGGTCCACAAAACCGGAATAGATACTGTGCTGTGTAAATCTACACTCTCAGAAAAAAAGGGTATATTCTAACACCACTTGTCCTATAAACGACACCCCAAAATTTCAGTTCGACGTAGAGCACGCGGGCGTCGAGCCGTCGTTCCCAACTTTTACAGGCGACTTGATAGGCGAGTGGTACAACTTATTGAAATAGCTAATGTACGTGTTATTGACTACAAAAAAAGTTCTCGCGGTTTTCTTGGTATTACTGCAAAACCTCAGTGTTTCTTTTCCGTAGTCTTCGACACGTATTTTAGCTGCTTAATGAGGTATATCTCACCGTTCCCAAGCGCCTCGTAAAATTTGAGGCCGTCTGCTCGAAGTCAGCGCTCTGTGCGTCGAAATGAAATTTTGGGGTGTCGTATGTAGGACAAGGGGTAATAAAATATACCGTTTCTTTTTTTCTGAGAATGTAAGGTATGATATCTAGATTTTAAATAAAGTAAAAAATTCCGGCTTACATGTCCCATCGCTTATTTCGACGGTGTCGCGGGCTTCGCTGGACACTTTGACAGTCACGATCTTTTCTTTCCTAAATTATAAAGTCAGTTCTTTGTAATCAGGCGAAGAAAAGAAGGGTAGCCAAGGGCAAGCGTATATTTACATTTGGTTCGTCTGAGGGTCCCTGTACATCATTTTGCTGTTCGTGGTCTTGGATCCTTCGTTTTTCTCGGACAATTGTATGGAGACACATTTCCCGGTGCCTCCGAGGCCGTCATCATTTTCATAGGAACGCAAGATGAGGTAAAAAGCGTCCTTCAGAGTCACAGTCTGCAAAAAAAGATATTGAAAACAATCACAGTTTTGAGCTGCCCCCCCCCCCCCCCCCGCTCCCTAGTGTGGTATATATACTTTCTACAACACTCTATTCATTCTGCAGCGTCTGCTCTTCCGCAGAGCACTTACGAGAGCCATCGCTGCAATCTTTGAATGACGGAACTGATCATATGTTGAAATCTAAAAAAAGAAACCTGACTGCACTGTGGCACTGACCTTAAAGCTTCACCTGTCTAAATGCCACAACTGAAAACGCTATATTTTTTTTTTAAAGCTTGAAATGTTTTTTTAGCGCTACCCGCCATTCCTAAATTGTGTCTGTTCGTCCGTCCGTCCGTCTGTGCTTTTTCCGCCAAATTTAGCGGGAAAGGTGTCGTCATATGACGTTACCTCACGTCACGTGACCTATTATACTCTTTGGGGAAATCGACGGCACAACACCTATCTGTTGACTAAGTTTCCCCGCTAAATTTAGAGGGAAAATTGACGTATTGTGGACAAAACATATGTTCAGTTTCACCTGCTAAATCTAGCTGAGAAATGACGTCCCGCGACTTGTACACCAGCTCAGCCAGTTGAAAAACAGAGCGGGAAAATTCACGTCCTGTGACCTAGACACCAATCCAGTTTCCCCGCTAAATTTGGAGGGAAGATATTGTCATGTGACAAACCGACTCCCTCACCAACTCCGTATACACATCATCAATCGACCGATCTCACTAAGCGTTTAGCGCATGCGTGACGCCGCCATAACTTTAGTTCACAAGAGGTAGACGGCCGTGCATACGAGGGCTTGTACCGCCTTGTGCTCTACACGCGCTGAGCCCTTTGGAAGTTATCACACGTGCAGGAAGACTAAAGTTCCCTCCATGCTTGGCGGCAGTGGTGGCGTAGTCCAACTGGCTGGTGAGATAGGTTTATTATAACTTAAAAAAAAGGTTCTCGTGTCGGAAAATGTAATCTTGAGCTTCAAAGACATGGGTCAAACGCGCCCCGCCACTTGACTCGGTCGTCTGCATCGCCGTCTGCCCTTGACCATGGCAAGAGTTTGGCGCCATATTGTTTTACGTAAAGGGAGTTGCGCCTCGTAATTTAAAAATGTAAAATCCATCTCTAAAATACACCGTTGACGACAAGTTTAGGTTGCTAACTGCTGGCGCCGGTTTTTATGGCTTATTTTAGGTTGAGCCTCCGAATTTTAGACACCCTATATATTGCGAGTATAAAACGCATAAACAGGACCTCTCTGACATTTTTACTATAAATTTGTTACTTATTATCTCATATTTTTTTTAAGATGAAGCGTTTAAATTTTTTTCCCAATATTGTTCACATGGAGGGTACCGTCTGCATATAACTTGTTGGTCTAGTAGTTTATAAGGACAATTTCACAGCGCTTCAAACATGTTCTAGGGTCAATTTCAACGTGCAAACAAAAACACCCAACTTTGAATTTAAAAAAAAAAAATTAAATGAAGCATTGAAAGATGTGGTTGTGTTGTCCCTGTTTTAATTGTTTTATTCTTTCTTCATCCATGGCCAAAACCAACACGCTCTTCTCCCAAGCAAGCATTTTAAACCGTATCGTTTTGTTTTTTTTGGGCTACTTTGAGATTTTATTTTTTGGCTACTTGACACCTTTGGCTACTTCCACATTTTACACTTTTGGCCACTGACATTTTACCCAACATTCATATTGATATTGTACCTTTCTTTAAGCTTTACATTTCGATTTTTTCTTATATATTTTCCTCAAAACGACATATCATCTATATATAAATGGATGCTTTAGTTTACGAATTAAACTTTTTATAGCGTTTCAAACATGTCTCAAGGTAAAAAGTTCCGCAACTTCAACGTGCATTAAGAAAACAACATTTTTTTCGTTTTTATGTACGCGAAGCATTTTACACAATATCACCAAGTTTCCATAAAAAAGGTATGTTGCACTGTTTTATCTCCGTCTAAAATATAGCGCTTCGAAAAGCACACTTTTGGCTACTTTTACATTTCAACTTCCTAGTTTTTTTTTTTTTCGTGGTGTTTAAATATATAGCATTGGAATTCTTTCTACTGTTATTCATATAAATACCTATCACCTGTATATACACATAAGTTGCTGCTCTAGATTACAAGCAAAAATAACAACAACGCTTCAAACATATCTTAAAATAAAATAAAAAAAAAACCTAAAATTGAACGTGCAATTAAAAAAAAATCTTTACATATATGTGCGGGGAGTTTCACGAAACGTGGACCTATTCGACATTGCGAGAACTACACGTCGCAACAAAAAAAAGCCTTGTGTCGTTTCGGTCCTAGGCCAGGGCACTATTTAGAAAAAAATGTTAAAGTCCAAAATAATAAAATTGTTAATTACTTTTGCGTAATTACCTTTTTAAGTATTGTGTTTAAGGGCATGGTTTTAATTAGAAAATTGCTGAGCATCATCGAAAAACAGTATATCAAGAAATTGCAGAACGATAGAAGTCTCGCGAAGCATTTTACGGCTTTTGGAAAACCACCCAAACTCGACGGGTGTTTTAAGTTTCGATTTGCAATCGGAGCGCATCTCGGCCCCGACGGCACCGCGCCCCGTGGAAAAATAGTAAAACCCGCCTCTGGTGCGTTGTGCGAGTACAGCGCAACGAAGCAGTGTGCGCTGTCCTCGCGTAACTGCGTTGCAACTGATCACCAGTGTGCCTGCTGATCAGTTGCAAGGTTGTATTGGTTTGTGGCATGACTTTGAATCCAGTACACCTCAAAGGGGCACTCAAGTGGATTCATAGATTGTTCATTTATTGTCATAACTCAATCTACAAGCTCTAAGCAACCTACAAAGCCCAGAACTATATTCAAGAGCGCCCGATTTCTGTATTAAAAGCGCTATCAAATATCGTACCATCCTCCTCTTTCTGCACCGTGGCGCAGAACGCCAGGCAGCGCCACCAGACGGGAAGGCAGCATGGAAGATCACGCGACAGCCAATCACGAGTGACGGATTCCCGGCGGACAGAATTTTCGAAGGCGCGCGTATTTTAAAATTCACTCCGCCGGAAAGCCGTCACCCGTGAATGGCTGTCTCGTGCCCCTCCCTGTTGCCTTACCGTTTGGTGTCACCCCCTGGTGTTCTGCGTGACGGCACAGAAAGGTGGGCGTCACACGATCTTTGATTGGATTTTTAACAGGAAATTCGACCGCCCTTGAATGTAGTTTCGGTTTTTTTAGGATGCTTAGAGCCAGGAGATTGAGTTACGGCGGTAAATAGATGTTATCCGAATCCACTTGAGTGCACCTATAATGCAGGTCGAAGCATTACGGTGAAAGGAGTGTATCGTTTGACACAGTTCCATCGTTTAGAAACCTTTTTGAGCTCTTGAATTGTCGCTAAGAAGTCTGCGAAAATGTGAAGTTTGGGGATGGTCGGCAGGGCTTGGTGGCTCCTGCTTGTACAGTGACATGGAGGGCCTGTAATTCCATGACAAGAGGGTCGACTTTCTCAGACATATATTGCTGGTGCCCCTGAGTGAAAGTATGTCGAAGGAGCTGATGAGGAAAGAAAATCGGCCGCCGTCAGGGAAGATCGCTGCATCCGCGTAAACTTGACAGTGGTTGTCGTGCTGTGTTTCGCGGCAGGGACGTTAAGAGGGCGTGCCTTCCTGATCGCGACGTCGTAACTTTGTCGGTTTCTTGGTGGTAATGTGGGGGAATTTCTATGGGGGTATTGGTTTCGACTGTACCTACAGCGGGGGGCCACGTTGAAAATGCGCATGTAGCGCAGCAACCGCTGGTACAAACTGCTGTTCCCGTGCCTGTTCTCGTTGAGAGATGAGTTTCGTGATTGTGTTTAGCCTCGAGTGTTTTTGTAGGATTGAAATTGGAGTAACGCGAGACGGCGTCGTTATAGCGCGCATTGCGTCACGATTCCTGGTTTCAAATTGCGATCCACTGTGCCACCATAAGTTGTTGGAACTGCGCCTGGTATTTAATTCGCGGTTGCAAGATGACACGCACCAGCCGTCGAGCAATGTCTGTACGGGCACCACCAGCTTTCGGCGCTATACGTCGAGTGATATGGAGTGGTGGCAGATGTTTGCCTAGTCTTTCGGAGCCCTTGGGTTCGAATATCCAGGCGCAGTATCCGGACATTCGTATTTTTAGGTATTGTTAGTATACCCAGCTTGAGTTGAAAGGGAGCCTGAGTGAATTCCTAATATACCGTCTTGATTGCTACACAACGTTGTTGCATATTTGTGAAGAAATTTACAGCCCAGCTTGTTCTGAATAGTTCAGAAGGATATCAAGGGCTTCTTAGAACAGATTGGCTTGCCAGAGAGGTCCTTGAGACTACTCCATAAAGTGACGTCGACGGCATAGATGAGACATTCGACGCCCGGAACCCGATGGAGTTGCCATACTAGAGATCTCAGTGCAATGTTAAAAAGAAGCGGAGACAAGACGGTGCCTTGGGGGACTCCCCTATTGGATGTAAAACATCTTTCTCATTGTTCATCCACCCTTATAGCAAAGGTTTGATACCGAAGGAAGGAGTATACAAATCGTGTAACCCGCGGAAGAAGCCCGAGCTCTAGGCGGAGCTCACGTTTGTCTGCTTCTTTTGCAGGGGTTGTGGTGACGTCAGAATGCCAAGCTCTGATTGGCTTTGAATGAAGAATGGTGGGTAGACCTCAAGGCAGTTTTTTTTAGGTCTACCCACTATCTTTCAATCAGAGCCTAACAGAGCTCGGCGTCTTTCTGATGTAACCGTAACTACTGCGCTGGAGTTCAAGAATAGCTGTCCGCACACGGTTCGTCATTATCATCGCCGCAATAAGTTAAGCCATGCTAAAAGAACTAGATAAGTCTGCCTGGGAGTTGGACTCAGACTCGTCAATATCGGGGCACTGTATGGGTGAAGCCTGATCATATATGGGAAATAATTTTCGAGCTACATAGGTTGCAACGCTTTTCGGTGTGCTTCGCAGTGCGAGACGAACACAAACAGCTGGTTCGGGCTCTTTTTCCCCTCGCTCCATAGAGTGACGCATGCGTCGGAGAGCTTTCGTTTTTAGTACCGGTCCCAAGGCTATCACACCACTCAAACCACCTTTATCTGGAAAGCTGTTTCTCGTGCCGACGTGCTTCGGCCGCAAGATGGTTCACACGGGATTCACTACCTGGCATAGCCCTCCGGCAACACGTAACATCTCGTAGCACGTGATAACCATGCTATTGACGGCCCGAGGCATGTGTTGCCGGACGGAGCCGAAGTTTCGGTTTTGACTTCTGCTCATGTTTAAAATTAAATAAAAAAAGTATATATCCCATTTTTCGCGAAGCAAATACCGTATTGTCTTGTACTGGGGCTTTTCAAGGCGATATCACTCATTATTCCGATATCTTCAGAATTTAGCGAAGTTGTACTTTAATTCGACCGCAGCCAACACTGTGATTCGACGAAGTGAATCAATAAGCGCCAAAACCGCATCGTCACGGCGCTGGTCGCCTTTATAAGCTTTCTGTTACGGTGTAAACCAATTACTCAAAGTGAATGCTGCTTAATACTGCGCCATTTTTATTTCGTCCGTGATTGGTTTAGCCGTTATTAGGAAGCGCAGAAAGATGACGAGTGCCGTGGCAATCCACTTTTGGCGCGGTATGATTGGCTCCATTGCATCGTGGCGTTTGCCGCGGTCAGACCTAATGTGAAACGGTGTATCGAGAGGAATCGGAAAGCGTGTTTATTGCTGGGCACTGCTGCAAGTTTCAACGCATTACGTCTGGTTTAGAACGATCAACGTTCTTAATCAGAAGGAGGCCACAAGACCCTGCTGCTGCTTTCCGTAGATCAAAGTGATGCACACCGTTTAATATCGCGGTTTCTATCGAGAACGAGAAGCCCGCAAACGCACGTAGGTGTTTTTCGGGCGCCACAGGAGGGCTGAACAGTTCTCGTACTCTATGACTAAGTTCCACTATAACGACAACCATAAAGAAACAACAACTACATGTCGAAAACACATGCAGCATGCTCGAGATGTTACCTTTAGCAGGCGTTTAGTCGTTCGGTGCTCGTGAAGTAAGCACGAGTGATTGCAAGCCTGCAAAAGATGCCCTCACCTGCATGATGCTCGTGCTTGAGCATAGCTTCCTATATTTTACAATGCATGTCAAATCGCGAAAGACATTTTTTGAGGCTTGTCATTGTCGTCTCTTTCGGTTTGTCGCTCTAGTGGGACTCGGGCATAAACGACACTTTTAGAAGAATAAACGGAGAAGAAAAGGAAAAGCAAAGAGCATGGCTCAACCGCACAGCAATTTCCAGATCCTGCACGTTTCTTCAATAGGCAGCAGAATACTGAAAGTGAGCTTCACGGTGATTTCAGCGAAATCAAGAGGCCATAAAAGAAATTCTGGGCTGGGACAAATAATTTTAGATTGGGATCTTACTAATCGCATATCGTTCAGAAGGCAAAGTTAAAAAAAAGAAAGAAAAAGTAGAAGGTGAAACTTGCTTTTCGGTACGAAAATTCGAAAATATACCAGACAATTTCGTACCTCATTTCCTTCGAAAACGTTCCGCGTTTTCACCGTGCTACATCCGCGGTACCCAAAGCACGCCAGCCTGCACCAGCTCAGGCATTGGACAAGAGCACTGCGTAACTCGGACGTAGGCACTCGGCAACAATCAATCCGTCGACGAATATTCGAATTCGCGTTCGTGGCCAATGATTGCCGTGACGGCACTTATCGTCGCTTGCAAATGACACGTTCCATGGTTTTCTTAAAAAAAAAAAGGTGGAAGCTTGGAGCCATCGTCCCAAGCACGTCACACACCACGTGATTTCTCATTTCGCTTTTCATGGCCTTTCTAAGAAGCATATTGTGAAATGTAAGTAAAATAATGCAAATTTTAAAAAACTACAATTTTAAGTCCGAGTAACAATACTATAAACGGCGAAGCTACTGGAAAATCTAAAACGATATTTCAAAAATTAGGACTTTACGAAACATATAGTTTCAAAAACTGCGTGTGTTTTGAAGGAAAAGTGAGAATCAAGCATTTTTATACCTAAGTAATCCTTTTCCCGTTCTTACCTTCCATGCGTCCACAGGTGAACCGTCTGACGAGGTCCCCTGAGAGCCAACACTGGCGATGGCGGCCACAAGGCTAGCAAACACAAGCAGTGTAGGATACATCTTGACTTCTTCAGCTCGACCAGAAAGGGAGATCTAAGTTAAATAAAAAACTGTTCGTTAGTCACAGTTTCAATATGAACTAGCATGCGTGTAGAAAGAAACGAGTGGTAAGAATATCGGTGGCTTACCTTGGCAGATGTGTTGCTTCTTCGGATCCCTGTTCAAGACTGACTCCGTGTACGAGGCAAAGCTGCTTTTAAAGGAATCTCCTGGCAGTAGGTCAGTGATGATCATTCCTTTGATATTTCGGTTCTAACCTTTCACTTGATTTATATGTCACGGCCATTTCGCTTGAAATGGCCGTGACATCGTTACATTTCCTTTTGTCGTTCGCAGTCTTCACATTTCTCTTGACCTCTAAAAGGAAGGACAATGAAAACGGTTGGGAAGGTCAGTTGAACAATTGAAATACATTATAAAAAGCGGCCGTGACTTTTACAGCGATTTTTTTTATAAATATTGACAAGTCCTCAACGTCCACGAAAAAGACGTAGTTTCCGCCGTCAACAAGGGGAGAGGAGGGAGCGACGAGCGAGCGCAAGAAAACAAACAAAATGCCGGCGGCATAGAGATCATACATACTAACTCTAGAGGAAAAGGTCCGCCATTTTCCCACGCATTCTGGCTGCCGCAAGCGGCGGAGTATACAGGCAGACCCTCGGGGTCCCACATGGTTACCAACTGCCTTCGATTTCACAAATATATCATAAAAGCAGTTTCATGAACTTCAACAATCCACGAACTTACCGGTGGAAAGATATTCGCGTTCCTTTCGAAGCTTTCTTTTTGCATAGCACGCAGATGTACGGCCTCCCGTCAACACTAAACTAAACCAGAAAACGGGCTTCGGTTATCTGGTTTAGTTTCGTATTTCCGGGCGCGGGTGGCCGCGCCCGGAAATACGAAACCGCGGAACTACCAGATTTTCGAGATTTCGACAGAAGGGAAGTTAATGCAGCGTAATGAGTATGCTGCTTTTTATAAACCTTAGAATAGCTCAGAATTTAGTTTGCAACGTTAAATTATCACTGTTTATATTGCTGAGAGTTTTCAGTCTTCGCGATTACCATTGCGACTGTCGACCTTCAGCTGGCAACAATGGTTTCTTTCTCTCGTGTTCTGTCGCTCTCTTTCGCGATCTTTCACTCGGGACCCAGGATGACGGCGCGCGAAATTTGGCACTCCTCCTCACCCACCAAACTCACCGGCGGTAAGAAAGCGTCCCGATTAGCTGCTACTGGGAGCACGCCAACCGACTGACAACCTATACCGATTCGATCGCGTTTCGCGCCTTGGCTGGCCTTGGGCGCCTTGGCGTTGCTGCCGTGTTGCTATAAAAAAAAAGACACTAATCGCGTGGACATTGGCTGGTTTCAAAGAGGCTGCGAGCCGAGGTATGCAACAAATAGCGAGCGCCCGAAAGAGAAAGCAGTGACGGCGGCGGCGGCCGGGGAGGGTGGAGGATAAATAAAATATCGGGGGGGGGGGGGGGGGGGGGGGGGTTCTGCTACCAGAGCCTGCTACCAGAGCCCTTGCGCACCTGCTAGGGACAGTTGGGAATGGTCGTCGGAAAGGCTAGTCGGTGGAGGCGGTGGTCGCCTTGTCAAGTTCGAGCAGCGGCCATTCTGGACAGCCGACCGTCTCGGCGCGTTAAGTCCGTGCTCCGATTAAGAAGCCGAAATATCTGTTAGCGTTGCGGAAAAGGTTTGTTCATGCATTTGGCCTGAAAACGAAGTAATCTATCCAACGGTAACGTGCCGATAGCAAGCGACAGAAAAGTTGTCAAGATGAGAAGACAGTCGGACGTTTTCTTTTTAGAATGCTTACCCCAGCGAAAACAGATACTTCGATTGGAAAGCCGAAATATCAGTTAGCGTTGCGGTAAAGGTCTGTTCATGCATCTCGCCTGAAAACGAATTGACGTGATATCAAAGGATGGTGTGCCGGTATCGGCGCAGCACATCGACGGGTTTCGTCTCGCGCTGGAAGACGGAACACAGAGCATCTGACAAGTTTGACAGCGTCCTGCGTCGACAAACGAGTTCAAGAATGTTGTCCTTCATTTAAGTCTGAACAGCATACATCGGTCACTCAAGGTAACTTTCCGCAAATGTGCTCAAAGGGAGTCTTCAAACTTTTAGAGCGCAGCTCTTAGGGGCCCGTTCCCGGCTTGAGCGGCGTCGCCGTCGGCGTCGGCGTCGCCGTCGCCGTCGCCGTCGGCGTCGGCGTAACCGCAACCCTCGTAACCCTCGTGAGGGTTACGAGGGTTACGAGGGTTAATCTCATGAGGGTTACCCTCACGAGGATCACGAGGGCCACGAGGGTTACTTACCCTTGTTACCCTCACGAGGGTTACGAGGGTTAGTTACCCTCAAAAGGGTTACCTTCACGAGGGTTACCCTCATGAGGGTTACTTACCCTTGTAACCCTCACGAGGGTTACTTACCCTTGTAACCCTCACGAGGTTTACGAGGGTTAGTAACCCTCGTGAGGGTAACCCTCGTGAAGGTAACCCTTTTGAGGGTTACGAGGATCAGTAACCCTCAAAAGGGTTACCTTCACGAGGGTTACCCTCACGAGGGTCACGAGAGTTATGAGAGTTACCCTCACGAGGGTTACTTACCCTCGTAACCCTCACGGGGGTTACGAGGGTTAGTAACCCTCGTGAGGGTAACCTTCACGAGGGTTACCCTCACGAGGGTTATGAGAGTTACCCTCACGAGGGTCACGAGAGTTACCCTCACGAGGGTCACGAGAGTTACCCTCACGAGGGTCACGAGAGTTGCCCTCACAAGGGTTACTAGGGTTACCCTCACGAGGGTCACGATGGTTACCCAGGTCAAGTGACCCCCCCTGGGGTCACGTGACCTGGGGATACCCCCCGAGGTCACGTGACCCCCCGTTGACGTCATAGCCACTGATGACGTCATCAGTGACGTCACTGATGACGTCACCGGCATCCGCATCGTCATCATCATCACTGATGGCGTCATCAGTGACGCTACTGATGACGTCATCGGTATCGTCACGTGGCCCCAGGTCACGTGACCCCCCCGACGTCACGTGACGCCCCAAGGTCACGTGACTCTCACAAGGTCACGTGACCCCCAAGGTCACGTGACCCCCCCGCCCCCCGAGGTCACTTGACCCACCCCCCAGTACCCTTCCCTCCTCCTCCTCAAGAGCTGCGCTCCAATTCGGCGTTACAGGGAGTTGTAAACGGCTTTCATTTTTTTTTATGATTATTAAAACATTCTTAAAAACTTCCTAGCGTCGCAGTCATTTTTTTTTTTTTTTAATTTACCCTCTGGTGCTTCACAGAGGCCTTAACTAATTTACCTTCGATGATAATTTCGGCTTCTGCCACCCGTATCCACGATATACCGGGTTAGTCATCGCCGTGCGGTCGGAAGTGGCTCATGCGGCTCGTCAATAGTTTAGGTGTGTCGCGCTCGTGTACGGAGTGTTCCATTTTGTTGCTGCGCTCGTAGTAGGAGTAAAGCAGCGCGGCCTTAGCGGGCCCAATACGAGCGCGAAACGCCCCCCGCCACTCGACTCGGTTGTCTGCGTCGCCATCCGCCGTTAACAAGGGCAAGTTTTTTAGCCCTAGACTCGACCGGGTGTATCTCCCTCCCGCTCTCCTGCCGCGCCTCATTCGTTGCGCTGTTCTCTCTGCTCCCAGCGCTGCCGGCTGCGCTTCCGATCACCACCCGGTGTCTGTCGTTTTTGGACCTCTCGAGCTTTCTACATCCTCGCGGCGACACGTGGCGTTTGGACACCACGCTGTTGCGAGACGAGCAGGCCCTTTCCAGCCTGCACCGGTCAATTCGCATGACGCTGTCGGTTGCTCCGGTGCCTCCCGCCCGCTGGGAGGTCATCAAGTACGACTCCAGGTTTTAAGCGACGACAGCGGGGAAGCTGCTTCGACGCCGCGTGACTGAGGCCCTCGATGAAACGATCCGCCGCATCCGTATCGTGTAGCGTGGCGGCACGCGCACACACTTGATGTCGGAGTACTTGGCGCTTCTTCGCGACCGCTACCAGCGCCTGCTTTACTCGTCGTTTCTACCCACCGTCGCGCAGCAACTGCAAGGTCAGCCCGTGGATGGCCCCGAAGTTCTTCAGTGACTGCGCGCCTCTCGTACAGGGGGAGATGAGCCCCCGTGCGTCCCGAACGTCCGCCTCGCAAGTGGCGCCCTTGCCGCCGACCCCCGCGACATTAGCGCGGTGTTCTACGAGTTCTTCTCGTCCCTTTTTCGTACGGACCCAGCGGTGTCCGCTTTGAACTTTGCCGAGCGAGCTCGCCTATTTTGTGGTGAACTCCCGGCTTGCCCCCACTTTAAGTGTCCTTCTCTTGTACGCCCCACTAATCGTGATGAACTTTTTGGCCGTCTTCGTGCGATGAATGTCGGGTCTGCCCCCAGGCACGACGGTTTGCCTGCAGAATTTTACGTGGCCTTTTGGGACGTCTTCGCGGACCCTCTAGTCGACCTAGTGAACCATTTCCTGGAGACATGGGCAGGTCCCTCTTTCCTTCCGACACGGTCGGGTCGTCCTTCTACCCAAAGATGGTTCCCCGTCGGACCCCGCGGCTTGGCAGCCTATCACACTTCTTAACATGGACTACAAACCAGTGGCGTCTCTGTTTGTTTCGCGTCTCGGACCGCTCTTGCCCTGCGTGGTGAGCAGGGCTCAGACGAATTCTGCTCCCGGGAGAAACATCTTCTCCTCCCTGTCTCTTACCCGCGACCTGTTTACGTACGCGCATTTCACCAACTTGTCAGGAGCCTTCGTCTCACTAGACCACGAGAAGGCTTTCGACCGTATCGAACTCCAGCTCTTGTTCGAGGTCTTGGGCGCCTTCGGCTCTTTGAGAGGTTCGTCGCCCTCTTGCGGTCACTGTACAGCGGCTTGACCAGCCGACTTCTCGTATGGATGACCCCTTGCTCCATTTCCCGTTACTCGGGGAGTTCGGCAGGGCTGCCGTTTATCCCCCTTGC